TAAAAATTCCCAATAAATTGCCGGAATTTCTGCGAAAATATTACTGAAACTTACAGACATCATTCCTGATTTCAAGACATTCCTTTGATTTTCAGGATCATGTCACTAGAAATTTTTTACAAAATGACTTAATTTTAACATTGCTTGCTCATTGCATTTCAGAAATGCAGCTGCCTAAAAAAGACACATCGATTCCTAGGAAGAACGTTTTTTTTTTCTCGGTAAATACAGACAATAGAGAAATGTCAGAGTACAGTGAATAAACTTCACTCGTCAAAAACTCCATAATGGCAGAGTAAAATTCCCTGATTCTTTTTCACTCTCGATTAATTTTTTAAAGATTCAAACTGATACTTAAGTATCAATTGATTAATTCACATCGTTCCATTCCATCGGGAGATATTGTCGATTGGAGACAATTTTTTATGGTCACTGAAGAATGCAAACCATTCATTTAAATCTCGCAATAATCTGCGAAAAGTCTCATTCGTTAATCTATTATTATTGATTTAATCCCATTATGTGTATGAGATTTGTTGAGATATAATCTCTCACAAATATTGAATATATTTCTCATCAAAATAATTCGAAATTCATTCATTACCTTTGTATCACTGACAAAATATGTAATAAATGTGAATAAGATGAATTGCTCGTATTTTTTTTTTTATTAAAGATCTAGTTGTATAGAAATTCAAATAAATGATCCTCTTTCGCTCAAGACTTCATAATTCCTTCTCTCCCTCTCCTTTATGATCAACTAATTTACAAATTAAGACAATAAGAAGTTGTATGAACGAAAATGGGATAATCAAGCGGATGAGTGAATGCAAAGGAGGTTTCATGTTGGATTTAAGATTGGGAACGCATCCCTGTTATCGACTGTTTCCATGGTAATAGATGAAAATTTCTTTACCCACAGAGACGGCCTCTCGATTAGTTCATGCGCGCCACCGCTGTAAAACTCTGATCGAACAGTTCCCATAAGCCTGAGCAAACTCCCCTATCATCTCTGTATCCGGCTGCAAGACACCTTGTCAATGCCAGAACAATCGAAGAAGATTTGCAGAGATGACTGTTCGAACAGGTAAATATGAATTGTATTAATGTTGCTATATTTTATCTTCATCTTTGAGTCCGAAAGCCAAAATGTGATAGAGTAAGTCAACATAGTTGGAAAGATAATAGATTTGCAGGCTGTTTTGTGAATATATCCGGATGTAAGGGGCTCTTCACAGTAGTGTAGTCATGAAAAAATATCAATTATGTATGGGTCATACAAGACCATCAAATATTTCTGAAATTTGGAAAAACCTGAAAAATCGATTATTCATTTCCAAAGATCCCATTGTGATTATCAATGATCGGATTGATTCCAAATTTTCACCCAATATTCAGAACACCAGAACGAAATAAATTAAGGATGTGTAATTTATCAAGTGTGTCCACTTGATAACTTGACAGCTCAGTTGAAAAAAAAATGAAATTGACTAAATAAATTATTCATGTTATAAAATAAAGGGAATGCTCATAAATAATAGAAAACTAGTGACTGCGATAGTAACAGTCGAATTTTGATTGAGCAACATCGCACGCTTCGGCTAGTAGTGGGGTTATAGCAATAAGATGAAAGTTTGTGTGTCCTACGTGTCCATATGCTTTCAACATAGAATTATCGTCACCGGCTTTAGTGTAGTTCAGTGTAGAGGCAAAATGACGGTCATTTTTGAAAATTGGTCGTCTGACGGAGAGATGACCAAAAAATAACCGTTCCGTCATAGCATTTTTTTCCTGTCTCCAAAAATGACCGCGACCGGAAAAATTATCAGCAATGACGTCAATTTAATCTATATAGATGTTTCCTATTCGTCATTTTTTTTATTACCCTTACTAATTTTGAATATAATTTTAACTATTATTAAATATTATTACATTCACTCATGCAAAATCAAATTAATTACTGATTTTACATCTTGATGATTTTACCTCGTGTATTTGGAAGCATGGAATGTGGGTTAGATTAATAGAAGCAATGAACAGCCCCCAAAATTCGTCGAGCTTCACTCTGTCACCGACAGATGGCACCATGTGCGGCCGAAAAGTGACAACTCATTTTTTTGGTACTCGGTCAATTGACGCATTGTTGACGAGTATTTTGACGGTCAAAAAATTTCCTCGCATCACTAGTTAAGTGTAGTGGGGGGCGTTCCATGAAGAGCGCCCCAAATGGTGAATGTAGAAAATAGGAATCCGGCAAAAACTCCATGAAAATTGTTTTGCTTTTTTATGCAATTAATTGGTTGTGAAATGTCTTTCCATACCCACATTTCAGAAGAATATTCAATAGAAATAACTCGCATTTTCTCAAAAACGTTTGATTGAATTTCCATTGAAATAGTGGAATTTTTCAATTTTTTTGGAAAAACAAGTAGGTCATGCGTTTTCTAATTCATATAACTCCAATATAACTTCCGTGAGCCCTATACCTTCATGTACCCCCGATGAGCCATCCTGACCCTCATGTAGCCCCTTTGAAACCTCCATATCACGCACCTATAGCCTTCATATGACCCCCATATAACCTGCATATAACAGCTTTTGAACCGTACATGACTTCTTCATAAGTCTTCGTGTGATTCATATAACCTTTCTGTGTCTTCCTCTGGTCTTTGTAAGAATGGAAAAGCGTGACACAATTGGTCATATATAGTTATATAGAGCTCAGGGGTCAATAGAGGTGATATGGGAATCATTGGGGATATAGGTAATATGGAGGTTTTCTGGACATCACGAAGAAACACATGAAGATTATATATCATGTAGAAGGTCATATGTGCCCTAGGAGGGTAATGTTTTCTAGTGTCACAGAAACCATAGGAAAGCCATAGAAAGGTTATATATGAATCACGAAGATTTATGCAGAGATCATGTACGGTTCAAGAGCTGTTATATGCAGGTTATACGTGGGTCATATGAAGGTTATAGGTGAGTCATATGGAGGTTTCAAAGGGACTACGTGAGGGCCAGGAAGTTTCATCCGGGGTATATGCAGGTCATAGGGGTCATACCGAAGTTATGTGGGAGTTATATGGGGGTTGGGATGTTCATATGGGTGTCAAGAAGCATTATACAGCGGTCATAGGAGTTAATTATTGAGAATTTTAATCATAGTCCGAATTACACACCCCTGAATCACACTTTCGAATTAGACAAGCTGGATTGATATATGGCGAATTGCACAGATGTAAATCAGAAGAACACAATGTGGAGTCCGAACCATACATTGCATTTTTCGTGAAATTGCATTTACAGAATGTGTAATTGGACATGTGTTCGTAAATTATGTGCAATGTAATTCGGTGGATACATTGAATGTCTCAATCAAGGTGCATAAAATGAGCCTGCAGAATTACCTAATTGTTCAAGTTAATGATTCGTAAATAAATCCATGTGTTTTCATAAGATGTGTAATGAGCCCCCCAAAGTTAGGCAGCCAAGGTTATCGGATCAAAATGGCGATTATGCCAAAATGATCTGCTTTTTATCTGCTTTAAGGCCCGCATGGAGGGATTTTTTTCTCGAGTGGCGATTTTACGCCCCCCCACTTTGCGGTCAAAGCAAGAAGCTTTATCCGAACCATAGCTAAGTCGGTAACTGTGGGAATGGCAGGAAACCAGGGTGACATATAAAAGTGGGGCTTGGAAAGGGCCCCGCAATTTTTGTTTCTTATTCTCTTCGTATTTATTTTTTCCGGTAGATGTTCTCATGTTTCCCATGAAGTTTTCGAGAAATATTTCCGATTTTCGAGAGAATTCTCCGGTTTTTGAGAAAATTCTGGAAAATTCTCCAGTTTTTGAAAAAATTATATCGATATTTAGAGTTTTCAAACCAAATTCGAGGAAATTCTACGGTTTCCGAGCACGTTCGAGAAAATTTTTATGTTTTCGAGAAAATTTTCCTATTCTCTAGAAAATTCAAAGAAATTCTCCAGTTTTCTAGAAAATTCCAAAAAAAGCTTGGGTTTTCGAGACAGTTCTAGATCATTCTTAGGTTTTCGAGAAAATTTTCCTATTCTCTAGAAAATTCAAAGAAATTCTCCAGTTTTCTAGAAAATTCCAAAAAAAGCTTGGGTTTTCGAGACAGTTCTAGATCATTCTTAGGTTTTCGAGAAAATTTTCCTATTCTCTAGAAAATTCAAAGAAATTCTCCAGTTTTCTAGAAAATTCCAAAAAAAGCTTGGGTTTTCGAGACAGTTCTAGATCATTCTTAGGTTTTCGAGAAAATTCTAGTGAAATTCTTTGGTTTTTGAAAAAATTAGAGGGGGGTGGGGTAATATGGACATTTGGGGTAAAATGGACACTCAAAAATTTGCGAATTTTTTTGTTTTTCATAATTCAAATTTTTGAAAATCGCTTCATTGGGCATTATGGACACCTGATAAATCTGTATGGGCGAGACTAAAATGAACACTTAAAACATTTTCAATAATTGATTTTTAAAAATTGCTTCTTGGCAAAGTCTACAACTGAGAAATTATTCAAGAGTGGGCTAAAATGGATATCCGAAAAATTTGGTTCTATCCAAAAATAAAGAAAAGTTTTAAAAGACATTTTCCAAGAGAATCGTATCGGTATCTTTTTATAAACAAAAATTAGAGTTGGGAAAGATATTAACAAACAAACTTCGACTCTATTAAATTTTACATTGAAGTTTAAAATATAAAGAGCTTTGAATTTCCTGTTTTACTCTTGAAATAACTTTGAAATTATTAATTCTTTTTCAATTATCAATTGCATGCCTTACACATCTGACCTTTTGTCCATTTGTGAAATTTGTAAGATGGTTACTTTTCTACTCACAGAGGAAATCACCATCCCAAGTAGCAAACCTTGCGAAAGATATCTGAAAGTATACCAAAAAGGCTGACTAATGTCCGTCCAAAAGGTATCTTGCAGTCATACGATAACTTTTAGTTAACTTCTAGGTAACTTCTAGACACAAGTTATCTTTTTGGACAGACATTAGACAGCCTTTTTAGTATACTTGCAGATACCCTCCAGAACTGTGCTGCTTGAGATAAAACAATAGGCGGAGAGGAGGATAAATGAGGAAGGAAAAATTTGATTTACCACCCCCATGGCGAACATCAAAAATAAGTTTTTTTTTTCAATTTGAAAATCGCAATCATGACTAGCGTTTCAGACATTGAATAAAATTGTTGAAACATAAAAAATTGAGAAAGAAATCAAGGTATCCATTTTGCCCGGTTTTTTCTTACGACGCACTCTTATGAGAATCTGTTGGCTTTTATGATCTTCAAATGAAGTCGGAACAGTAGATTTGATCGAATTCAACTCATTATTTAAATCTGGCGCCCATATTGCCCCACCCTCTCCTATTATATCTCGAATTAAAAAAAAAAAATCGAGGAAATTCTAAGGTGTTCGAGAACGTTTTAGAAAATTCTTAGGTTTTCGAGAAAATTCTAGGAAAATTCTCCTGTTTTCGAGAAAATTATAGGGATGGACCAAGTTGATATTTGGACTATCCATAATTTCCTGTGTTTGAGAGAAAATTGAGAGTCAGTTGAGAGTCGGAGTGACGAGGCCAAAAATACATTTTATGCAAACCGATCTCTTTACTATCGATTTTTTACCCTGTCAGTAGGCGCGCGGTTCCACCACCTTTGTTGAGACGTGCGATGAGGGAATCGCTCATCGGCTTCTCGTCATAATAGAGCCAAATATCGCTATAGGCGGCGCTGTTCAGCGTTCTGCGGCACGAGCCCCGTACCCATAACACGTACAAAATTTGGACTGAGCCGAAGAAAATATTCTTTTCGTGTCACGGGACCTGAAAATTAATTTTCGTGTCACGGGACCTGAAAAACCCAGGTCCAGGTCCAGGTTTGCAGGTCCCTCGACACGAAAATAAATATACACACCTCGCCATGGAATATATCACACTCCCCCACGTGCTTGCCATCCTCGCCTTCGGCGCGGAAGACAATCTTGCACGTGCGCGACGATGATCTCTGTAGTGAAGTGGTAAAACGAGGTAAGTGCATAAAATGGAATTTTACAGGAG